GAATTGCAAAACATAGTGCTTACAATGTGTAAGAAATCCATTGGTGTTGCTGTGTAAAGATCCCAGTGAAGCTTATCTAGTATAATCCTTTCCATTCTCAAGATCTCAGCTGGAGAGCGTTTACAGCCACTCTGCACTGCAAGCGTCTTCACCGATGGTATTACCTGTTAAAAAAAATTAAAGGAGTTAAAAAATAATAAAGAAGCCAACTTCTTACACAGTGCTGTGTGCGTTTCTCTGTACTGTGCTCTGAAAACTCTGTGCTCATCCCAAAGCACAAAGCAGGATGCTTTGGTCAGGAGACCACATAGAAAATTCCCATTCTAAACACAGGCAGGCCGTCCTCCTCCCAGGGCAGCTGGCAGTGAACCCAGCCCTACAGCAGGAGCGATGCTGTGAGCCACCTGCGTGCTGCACTGCGAGGCAGGCTCCCTGCTACCTCGTTAGCTTTGCTCTCCTGATAAGCAAGGAGAAGGTTTCCAGTTTTACAGAGACTTTCGTGGTTGTCTCGTTTCCTGTGGTCATTGGCTCAGCTTCTCCTTTTTAGCTGAGGGGAAAAGAAGAATAACCTCAGCGTGATGCACCCTAAGAAGGCCTATGAAGAGCATTTCACTACAGGAGCAGTTCATTAAAAGAACTGCCTGCACCTCCTAAGTTTCCTGTTCCTTTTCAAAACAGAATGAAGGAAAGAGGAGAAACAGAATCTGAAATGCTTTTCAAGGTCTATTTGGCTCATGTCTGTCAATGTCTGGAGAAGTGTGTGCCATGACGGGTTTCAGCTATGTGCACTGGATAATTATCCCTTGTAATCTCATACTTACATGAGTACTTGCTGATTTTACATGTTCACCTTGAGGTGCAGACCTGAGTCATTTCCTCACCCAGTTCAGTAACTGGTTTTGAATTGAAGCAAACTCATCTATCTGAAATCTCCTCTAAAGAATCTCTGCTCTGTCTTGCCTACCTTATCCTCCCAGGACCCTTCACAACAGAATTACAGCACCTTGATGTCATGCACACAAAGCTGTGCACATGTGTCTTGGCTGTCACTAGATCAAGCTTTACTGCGAGCTGTGAATTCTGATGAGGAAAGGTTTAAGTGCAGCAGGGGAATACATTCATTACTTTACAGTGACCTTGAAGGATGAAGGACCAACTCTTACTCATGCTGAGGAAACGGGACTGAAAATGTTACTGCCACCCCTTTGGGCCTATGCAGGGTAAACAAAATTACACTTCCTCATTAAGCCCAAATTGATGAAAGACCTGGAAATGCAAACAACTCAAAAAGATGGATTTAGAGTATTTAAAATGACAAGTGTACAGACCTCATCTTCTTCGTTGGTTTTTGCTGCAAGGACAAGGCAGGAAATTGCTATGCACTGAAGATATTTCAGTCGACCCTGAAGGGAGAAGACAACACTGAGTAACAAAGATAACATCTTGGGGGAAATAACTGTCATTCTACTGCACATGCACAAGTTTCAAATTTTCATTTCAGTGGCAGCTGCTTTGGAATCAGTTCAGCTGCAGCAAGATTCACTTGAAGCCACAAACAGCAAGGAAATCTGAAGTTAAACAAGTCCTCTTTTTGGTCTTGCTGTTATTCACGTATCTCACAGTCTCAGACCACACAATGTCACACTATCTACAGCGTGGTGTTCTTCCTCCTCTTACCTGAGATATTACTATGCTTTTGTCAAGCAGAATTAAGAGTTGCAAGGCACGTAACTTTATTGTTGCTTCAATGTCAGAAGAAGTTGGCCTCACAGTTTTGTTAAAAGCAATGGTTTTGAGACTACAACATTCAATACGATAACGCCTTCTGTTTAGCAGAGGCAGCCAGATGATGATGAACTCTTCATGCTTATCACAGCTTTTGGACTCCAAAGTCACACAGACTTCTACTGTGGACAGTGAATCAGTAAAACCTCAGCAAACACTCAGGTTCATAGGCATATGGGAACTGTTGAGTCGCTGTCTGCACCACTGGTTGAGCACCTGGGAAAGGACCAGGTCAGCCCTGGGAGCACAGGTGAAGGCAATTCAGCTGTGTGATAGGAAGGGGTGGAGGCTGGCTGCACCTCTCTTAGACCTCATTTAAGGGCTGACTGCCACTGGGGAAGGATCTCTTTCTGGAGATCCCTCCTTTGTGGAGTTTCCCCTGTGAGCTTCAACCTTCAGAAACAGGTGAGTAGTCCTTCTTTTAACATTTTTCTATTGCAATAGTCCCTCTGTCCTTAAACCTTGTATCACCTTTCCATTGTGTTGATCTTTTTGATGGTTACAATAGGTATATATTACCCAGAAAAGACCCTGGCTGCTCCCTAAGTCTGCTGCCAAATACAGTACTTCTTTTGTGTAAAGAGGATGTAATCAGGTTATACATCTGCAACCAGTAATATAAACAGATAAAAAGCTGAAAGAGATTCTTTACCTTTACTGATGCTAACAACCGGTTAAGGATGCTGATAGATAAAGCAAAAGTTTCAGAGTGAAACTGGAACTGAGAGCTTATTTCTGCAATCCAGAGTATGGTTTTCTCATAACACGAGGGAGAGATGTCTGTACCCTGAGGGGAAGAAGTCAGGAAAAAAAGTACACTTAGCACTTTGATGATTTCGTTAACATATCTCCAAAGGAAAACTCCAATTATTCTAAGTGCTCTAATTAACATTTCAGATGTCTCCAGGCTTGAAATGAAGATACTGCTGTTGTCTGTGTGTGCAAAGAGAGGGAAAGGGCAAACTGTTGTAGCAGTTTAAAGCACTCATCCATGTTGCACAGCTCTTGCCTGCTCCATCAGGCTTCCCCAAACTACCTGAGTCAAAGCAAAATGCAAAGCAACTCTAAACTCATTTTACATGGGGTATTAATATGGTGTCAAACAAAACAAACACAGACCCTCCTCCCCCTCTATTCCTTAAGATTCATCCACGCAGGATGACTTTTGCATTCAGGTGGGTCAGGATGGCAGGACCAGCACTGCATGTCTGCAGGGAGATGCCTTAAGTGCTGCTAAAGAGAACGAGGGAGAATACCTTCAGGGTAAGGTTCTGGAAAACGGGCACTTTCCAAATCCTAGTCTCTCTGACTAAGGCATTTTCCAGGAAGCAGGCAAGCCTTGGGGTCTGTGGAGGTCCAGGGCACTTCATAGTAACTCCTTGAGCCAGTTTCCCAGGTGGGAGCTGCTGCCAAAACCAAGGAAAGAATTATAAAGCAGTGTACCACCTCCTTGTGCTAGGTATGGTTTCCTCTCGTGCTGCCTTTCCAATGCTGAGAACTAAGTCAGGGTCAGCCATATAGTTTGTTTGTGTGCTGATGAGCAAAAACAACTCTATCATCCATCCTGAGGAAACTGATGATGGGAGAAAAAATGTCTGAGAGCTAAACTGCAGCTTGTTTTTTTTTCCACCTCTGGGCCATACAAAGGCTTCCTCTGGTCATCTTAGGTTGGGAGTACATAGCACTCCATTCAGCTGTCCCTTCGTAGAGCTATTAAGTTGCAACCCACTGTCAGCTGATTTTGAGTTTCTGGCAAATACAGGTCTATTGTTTCTGCAAAAAACAAACAAACAAAAAAAAAACCAACAATATTGGAGATATTTTTTTTTTTTCTTAGGACTGAATTCCCAATGAACATTTTTCCTTGAAACAATTCAATCTTCCTGTTGCTGTTGAAGGCACACAACACTATAGAAGCAGCACTCTCCAGGCTATGCATGTATGCATGAAATAAAGGTATCTGAGTGCTCCCATCTAAAGGGCAGTGAGAACCTGAGATGGAGCATTTCAGTACTTGTATTTCAGTGTTTTGCTAACAGCAGAAAAAAAAGATGTTAGATCTAGAGCTTCTGCTTTACTCTATCTGTGCAGTGGTGGATGAGGGCTCGTGGCTTCGTGCCTCCAATCGCCCTAAACTGAGTGAATCCTCTGGAAACTGTTGATTTCTAAAGCTGCAGATCTGCGATGTGAGCGTTTCACCGCACGGCTTTGGCTGCGTCTCACGAACGCCCGACAGCCCGGATCGTTGCAGCAGAGCGACCAACCGCGTAAGGTTTATCCGAGCGGGTCGATGCTCTGAAGTTTCTCTTTTTGTAGCTGGAGGGAAAGAATTCACTCGAGGCTCCCCTACATCTTAACCGCGACCGTCCCATACAATCACACCGATCCGCCTCGTTCCTGCCTTTCTTTCCCCGCAGCACGGAGAGCCCCGGCCGGCAGCATCCCCCGTCCTTACCCGCCCGGACAGGTCGCGCTGCGAGGGGACTCCGTGGGCGGCCGGGCACGGAGCCGAGAGCAGCGACGACTCTGTCAGGCGGGGCCGCACCGCCCTCAGCCTCCGCGGCTGCGCACAGCCGGGCCCGGAGCGCCGCGTAACGGGAGCGAAGGCGCTCCGCCGTCACGGCTCCGCTCTCGAGGCGGCGCTGCAGTGCGGGCTCCGGGAGGGGCTCTGCCGTGGGGTGACGGGCTGACTTCGGCACAGCCCCGCGTCGCGCCCCTCCCTTCCCGGGTACGCCGCTGCCGCAGCCCCGTTCATCGCGGCTCTGTCGTTCCGGTCGCGGAGCGGAGGAGCCCTCGTGGCAGCCGGGCCCTGCTCCTCGTTGACGGTCTGTTCTTTTGCACTGGGAGTCTACACAAATAACTGCGTGTGTGAGGAACGTATGGAGAAACGGACGGATCTGGGAGGGAGTGCGGCGCTGCGGCCGTGTCGGCCCGGAGCGCGGCCGGAACCCCGCGGGGAGATCATCGCGCCGGGTTCCATCACGCGCCCTCCGCCGCCCCGTCCCGTGGTTCCCGTGGCGACGCCCCGCCTCACGCCGCGGCTTTGTCCCTCCCACCTCCTCCTCTCCGCTCACGCCATTGGCTGCGGCTCGGCTCCCGTGGTTGCGGGAGGCAGGCCGAGCCCCTCCTTTCCCCGCGAGCCATTGGCTGCGCGGCCCCCGCAGCGCGCGGTGATTGGCCGAAGCCCTGGGCGCTGGGGGGCGGGCGCAGGCGCGGTGCTGTTATTGTTCCGCCGTGCGGCCCCGCGGCTCCTGCGACCGGCGGCGATTCACGGCCGCGCCGCCATGCCGGTGAGCAGCGCCGGGGCACGGGAACGTGGGGCGGGCTGGGAGTGGGATGGCGGCTGGGGACGCCGCAGGCCGCTTCTCG